GGCTTTATGGAAAATTAAAATGGAAGCAATGGCCATGGGAGAAATAGGCAGTTTAATTTCTCCCAAATTCTGGTGAAATTTTACTGGTCACTATTAGTCGCTAAAGTAGCAGCTCCCACTCTCAGCTGTGTAGCAATGGAGACCCAGGGAAGTTTTAGTGCAGTGAGCTCTGGAACTGCATCTCAACAAGTATGTGTTGATATTATGCCTGCAGCATTTGCAATTGCATTTCTTCAGATATACACAAGCTAGGCTAAATTAAATCAGGGTGAATCCTAAAACAGCATCTAATTCAGAGGCCACTATTCTCTCACTAAACCATGTCAATGTGGCTTTATGGGAGATGAATTCAGTGCACCAAGATGACACTAGGCAGAGGAACAGTTTCTACTCTGTGGAATTATTAGCAAAGTAATATTTTCCTCTGGTTGGAACCTGCTTCCACTCCTTAGTAAGCCTCTTGCTTGTCGTATAGCAATTCACTGTTTCCTGATGGTGATACCTGCTCAGTTCTATCACCTTGCTGTCAGCGGTGGCCAACAATCCCCCAAGCAGCTATGTTAGACACTGTCTGTTTAACTGATCTCTAGCATATAGCTACTTCAACACACAGCTTGGTAAACCTGTGTGGTGTTTGTAACTACTGATTATTCATAGCAATAAGTTTGTTCTGGCTTCTGTTACCCCTCAAGCCATATTCTTTCATATGCAGCTGCATTCAAAGTACTGGGAGCATTGTAACAGACATATGGCCTAGAACCATATGCATCAAAGAGTGTGGCAAGTACCAAATGTGTTTGCAAACAAGTCCTTCTAATTGAGAGCTTGACACCCTGAGGGATCCAGAGGAGTGGCTGGCACTCAAGCAACATCTTAGATTCTTTGGAAGTTATCTAAAATAAAATCTTCACACCCAGTTCAGAGTTTACATAGAGAAACTGCTATTCCATATCCTTATCCAAAATTACTTGAAAGCTGACTGATTTTCAGTTAACGTATTGCCAGATAATTTGCAGGTGAATGCCCTAAGAATCTGGCCTAAGAAAATTTAACTTCAGAAAGTTCACCAAAGGAAGGTTTCCTACTCCTTTCTTCATTCTATGGCCATTGGCGTCCCTGACAATTGTATCCACATGCTCCTGAACAACATGGGAAGAATCACTGAGAGCTGCTGCAGGAGAAATGAATGTCCCCAAATTCTCTGTTCTCGATCAGGAGCTCTCCAGAGAACCTTGGATCTGCCATACACGAGGGCTTGCTAAGCTTCTGGGGATGATGTCAAGAATGGGAGAGCACAGGAAACTTTTTGTGTGAACTTTCTTTAATTAGCTTAGCTTTGGATCTAAGCATCTGTGATACAAATGTCTTATTTTGCCCTGTTTACAAAGTAGAGATCCATTGATTTATTGCAATGAATGAGAAGCTCGAGGATCAACAACTTTGCAAAGGACACTGCTGGCACTGAGATGGTATTCTTTTATTTAATGTTCCACATTTTTTAACAGAGGTATTTTTTGTTTTTCTTTTTCAAATGGATTCATGTAAAAATTCCAAGCAGGATCCTGGTTTAGATTCAGAATCTCCATTGCAATTGCTCATGCAAAGGGAAAAGAGAGAGAGAAAAAACATATTGTTACTGGAGATGCAGGGTCATTGGTTATCTGAAATAATTAAGATGACAGTTTTGGGGAAGTAAAAAGAATGCTCAGAACAGTCTAAGGAGAGGATTGTTGCAATCACTGCAAATGTCAGTAGATGAAAGAAGAATCCATAGAAAGGGGAAAAATAAATTCATTGACTTCAGACTCTAGGTAGGTGATGAGTATAGTTGCCTATGAAATGTTTATGGCAGCTTGAAACCCAACATGATGTACTTTGACTTTCCAGTGAATAATGTTCTTCCTACAGATTTAGAAAATGTTTTAAAGTTTGTTAATATTCTAACATTTTGATTACTCATTGTGATAAAACATGTCTCACATTTAAGGCATAGAAAAAAACGTCTTTATTCTAGAGGTATACGTGTATCTGATCTCCAAATAGTATAATAAATCTTTTATCTGAGAAAAAATGTCAGGAGATGCTGTTTGCTTGCAGATGTAACAGAATAACATGATGCTGAATTGATATGGGGGAAACAGGAAGTTGTCTAGAATGGGTAGGAGGAGTCGTGGTCTTTGGCCACCTGCAGATCTTTGGCAGTTAAAACAAAACTTAATGTATGCAAATCTGACAGTAGAGTAAGACTCAGAAGATTACATCATTTTACCAAATCTTCAGGCAATCCTGATACTTCACTTTCTTCCAAGGAGGGATCTTTAAGCTGCCTGTTAATTTAAACCCATTTCCTCTTTCTGGAGAAAATTATAAGCAGATACATACAGAATGAGAAATGCTGATTTCTTTTGGCTGCATCTACGAGTCCAGTCACTGGCTGTGTTTAGTCAGAGCGTCTGACCTATTTTCTTTAAGTGACTTAGTTCTCCTTCCTTATTCACATCCAAATTGAGGATTGTTGCAACAGATGATTGATTATGTACCAATAGAAGAGATTGATTATGCGCCATTAAGTAGACTTTTAATGACCAGGGAATGTACAAATGATAATGCGGCTTCCTTCTGGCTTGGCTTTAGTGGTTTCACTGTGTCTGAAGCAACTTTGAGTAATTGACGACATGTTTATGGAAGGAAATGATTACACAGCAAAGGCAAAATTTGAATGTTGCTCTAGACTAGAAGTACGCAACTTCTCTTGATTTAAGGGATGCATCAACTATTGTATAGCATCTCCAGGACTCCATTCTAAAAGTGTGTAAGGCCAGGAACCAAAGTGTGTGGAAACATATATAATATTGCCTACTCTCCCTAACATACATACATTTTATTTTTGCTTTTATTTTGTATAGAAATAAAAAGATACAAAAAAGGAAAAACAATCAGAATAAAGCAAAAAAGACAAAACATGTCATGATTAATGTAGAAAACAGATCAGTTAATAAACACAGCATTAAGCCATTACCCCACTGAGTAATATTGATTTGTGTTTCCATTTTGTCAGTAGAGAGCCAGTTCATAAGTAGAGATTGAACATACATCATTGATCAAAGATTGTAAATCTGGAATGGCACCATCTGTCCATTTTTGTTATGCCCCATGCTTGATAAATCCATAGTTCTTTATAAAATGGTACAGTATATATAATTAAAATAATAGATGTATAATTAAGAATCATATTAACATTGTTCAATTATGTTGCTCTTTCCAAAACCATATTAACAAACTTAAAGATATTAAGTTGGGACAAAAGTGGGGCAAGCCTATATCATGTCTCATCCATTATGTTACATTTCAGCCAACTCTTTTAAAGCATTCTCTGAGATGTCCAATAAATACCCAAATATTTCTGTTGAAATAATGTCATCTTAAGATCATATATAATATAAAGGCTGAAAGGGACCTTGGAGGTTATCCAATCCAACTCTGTAGAGGAGTGTGGAGATGGTTTTGAAGAAGATATTCAACAGCTGTTATGTAAACACCAGCTTAGCCTTGGAAGGGAGAAGTGAGTGAGAAAGGAACTCCAGATTGCCTTGCTTTGATTCTCTTTGGTGTAAGAGATCAGAGAGAGAATCCCTGTCAGGCTTTTGAGATTCCATTATTATATCCTGGAAAAATAGAGTTCCAGTAGTCTTTGTAACTAGTAGTCCTGTTTCCTGACCTGGTCTACCTTGAAGGGCTGACACCAGTCTTGAAAGCCTCACTGCTCTCTAATCAGAGAGGGATCAAATCTTTGCTTTGATCATGGAGATGGCATCAGATCCTCACCCCACTTTCTGTAGAATAGCTGACTCAAGCATTGTTACAACATCAGCAGCAAGTGGGTATACAAATAACAAACCTGGACAAAATGCCATTGACACAGCAGTTGGGACAAGGCTTGCCTCAGCAGAAGCAGTTCAGCAGTCAGCAGCCCAGCCTATGTTTCTTCGCTCTTGTGGAAGTTTGCTGGAGACATTTGAAGGAGGCCAGGATCAATTTCTGACTTTAAAACTCAGTGTGAATTGTTTATGGCAGGATGGCCAGCAGAATTTCCTACCAATAGCTCCAGGGTGACATTGGGCACCATACTTCTGTTGATGCAGCCTAGGATTGCTTTGCTATATTTGCAGCTGCATCACACTGAGATTCTGTCAAATTCTTTGTTTTGACATATAAAGTTAAGATATACTATGTCCAGCACATTACCATTATCAAGGAAACAGGTGCTTTATAAAAAAAAATCAGATTGATTTAGCATAATTTATTCTCAATAAATTCATATTGGTTCCCACTGAGCAATGTATTTCCTGCCAAGTGAGCATTTTCGAAATGTTCACAACAGACTCTTAATAATCTGTTCCAGAGTTTTGCATGTATCGACATCAAGTTGACCAGTCTATAGTTACCCAGTCTCTCTTTTTCTCCCTCATTGAAGGTAGGAAGATAGGATAATTCAGAAAAAGTGCTTAATATTCTTTATTATATATTTTTTCATATATACTGCTCTGAGCTCTCAGAGGAAGGTGAGATGTAAAAACAATACTACGATAAAATACAATACAATACAATACAATACAATACAATACAATACAATACAATACAATACAATACAATAC